CCATTGTAGACTGGGACTAATGCACTCTCTATTCCGTACTCCTATTCCGCATCGTGTGATTTCAGCCTAAAGGCCTGTGTTCACGATGCTAGAACTCGGACCATTGGCTGTGTTCTGCCGAAGTTAAGCCCGCTGCAGACGATGCTATTTTTCCTGCTGGATTGCTTGCAATCTAATAAATTACTATCGTTGCACCATTCAGCACTCAGGATTCCTAGTAATTTAGTAAATCGCAAGCAATCCAGCAGGAAAAATAGCATCGTCTGCAGCGGGCTTTAGCTAAGAATAAGCGCTTTATGCTGATTGGATAGATCTAGAAGAATAGGGCCCGGTTTCACCAACGCGAGTTAATCTAATCGGTCGGTTAACTTAACAGGGTGCCAACATAAAACTTCTTTATTAACCAAGAAAATAGGTTAATAAAGAAGTTTTATGTTGGCACCCTGTTAAGTTAACGGACCGATTAGATTAACTCGCGTTGGTGAAACCGGGCCTAGCTCTATTTCAGCACAGATCTGAAAGTATAATCCAATGAACGCAAAGCGCTTAGCAAGCGCAAACTTCTGCTGGACACAGGCATTCATTCACTTTACCGGACATTCACACTTTACCGGAAATGAACGTGTTTTTAAAGAACTCCTATTTGCAATCGTTTGTACTTCGTATGAAGACGTTTGAAGTGTAAGTGAAAAGATTTGCGAGTCGTTTGTTTATTTGTAATTAATTATCTTTCCACCGGGCATTTAGCCGGACTAGACAAATTTTGAACAAAGTTTTTATAGAAAATCGTTTGTATTTTGTATGAAGAATTATAAAGTGTGATCGAAAAGGTTTATGAGTAAAGCCCGCTGCAGACGATGCTATTTTTCCTGCTGGATTGCTTGCAATCTAATAAATTACTATCGTTGCACCATTCAGCACTCAGGATTCCTAGTAATTTAGTAAATCGCAAGCAATCCAGCAGGAAAAATAGCATCGTCTGCAGCGGGCTTAAGAGAAGTCTATTCGCTCGAATAAAGCCCGCTGCAGACGATGCTATTTTTCCTGCTGGATTGCTTGCGATTTAGTAAATTACTATCATTGCACCACTCAGCATTCAGGATTCCTAGTAATTTACTAAATTGCAAGCAATCCAGCAGGAAAAATAGCATCGTCTGCAGCGGGCTTAAGTTACAGGTTACCTAACCTATTCGAGTGAGCAGATTTTTGTTAGGCTTCTAAACTTAGGCTGCTTTCGCGAGAAGATCAAAATGGTCGCATTCAGCAGACACAACTGTTGAGTGAGCGCTCACTCAACAGTTGTGCTTGTTGAACGTGGCTAATGATCCAGATTAAAATGACCCTGCGCTATGATTGGTCAAATCTGGAATTTCATTGAACAAAATTTCAATGTGATGCTACGAAATTTCAGGCTCGATTTCACCCCCCCCCACCCCCTCCCGTCAAAAAGAATATACTTTATACACCATCTATATATTCTCATTCATTCTTATTAATTAACGTGTTGAGAGCACTTGGAACGTAGGGAGAAGGGAATCATGAAAATCGACCGTGAGCCTCGCTCGGCAAGCTCTAAATTGAGATTAGTTTAACTACTAATCGGTCTGTGGTTAGAGCTGGTTAGAGCGTCAATTAGCTTGCGTAATCGCGCGTAATCCCGGACGTTTGTTATGCGCTGTCCGATTTTTGCGACCGGTCGAAATTTTGCCGCCGTTGTCTCGGCCCCTCGGCGCCTCGTGACATTGTGGCAGAAATTTGATTTGTGTCCCCCGCAGTTGTTGTTATTATAACAAATAACCTAAAATTGTCGAACGTACGCAACGGCAACCTCGGCGATCGATGTCGAGAAACCTATAAATATGCGGAGTTTAAAGGGACTGTATCAAAGAGCGTTGAAAAACTATCCCTTGGGTACCCAAGCAGTGCAAGCGGGTAATTAAACAATTTATTATAATTATATGCACGCATATACGCTCGCGCAGAGAGGAAACACGTTCCATACTTTGGATGTGTACGTTTTTACCTCGTGTACAATATTTTATACAAAATTTTGAGTAAAGGTGTTTAGCTTAGCGCCCTTGTCTCGCATCTTGACGAAGCTATGCTCAATCGACGTTTATTATTTGCGTCGAAGCAAAGGTTCGAAGGAATAAAATTCGCCGATCATTGCTCGAAAATCTGCAATCGAGTTTTTCTTCCTGTAAGTACGGAAAACAAAAGCGACGATTTTTTTTAAGTTTACTCTTTTATGGGAATGTTTTTCAACCGTTAAACAAAAGAGACGAGAGATAATTAAAGGTTAGGAAGTCTGTCATGCCGACGAAGCGCAGTAATACGAACGCGCGCCTGCGCCACGATGAAGAGATAGCGCGCGAAATATGAAACAATTGACCCCGCCGCGCGTAAAAAGTTGGGAAACCCTCGTGGAACTGCGATTAGTCGATTTTAAACTCAACTTAATAAAACGACGAAGTTAAAAAGAAGCCACAAAACGAGTTAAATAAAAGATATAGGTGTTTCTAAATTTCTGTTAAAACACTACATTTTACTACACGTTAAAAATAACATATTGAGCAGGAGTCTACGAATTTAACAGCGTATTGCTTGTGGAGTGACGAGGCGGCCGACTCTTGTGTTTTTTCAAATCTCTGCTTTTACGCAGGACATCGAACGAGCGGTGCTTTCGTCAAATATGAGACGAGAAAGCTAAACGCAATTAAAATTTACTATATTTACTAAATTTACTATATTTATATGTGTTATCGATTTGTATGATATAAAATATTAGCCAATAACTGAATACGCAGGAATATTAATGGGACTCGGGGATCAGATCGCACAGAATTTCATAGACAATTCGAAAAGTATTGACTTTGTACGTACAATGCAGTTCGCAGGAATCGGTTTGTGCATCAGTGTAAGTAATTCTAAATGTTCATACACAGCGTTGAATACTCAAATGTTTCCAATGTGCCCGCTTCGATTTGGCATTACCTTGACGAAATATTAACAATTTAAGGCCCGGTTTCACCAACTTTGGGCTTAGCTCAGTTCGATTTTTGTCTCTTTCTAAAGTAACAGTTGGAGAGAAACCAAGAATGAATTGAACTAAGTTTAAAGTTAAGCGACGTTGGTGAAACCGGGCCTGAGTGGTGCAAGATCTTACATAGGATGTTGCAGCAACAGGCGAGAGCTCTTAATATAACAATAAAATGTTTAGGGTCCAGCAACGACAACGTGGTACAGGGTTTTAGATAGATACATTGGCTCGAAAGGTCACTCCGTTGCAATTAAAAAGGTTGCTTGCGACCAAACGTTCTTCGCGCCTTCATTCCTAGCGGTTTTACTAGTCACCATCGGCATTTGCCAAGGGAAGGATATTGAAGGGCTAAAAATTAAAATGGCAAATGAATATACCGAGATCCTGACGAATAATTACAAGGTAACAAACGCAGCGTGCAGTAGAAATTTATTTTCAATTTTCCTCCTGTTCTTTTCATGTGCGAGTTGCCTTATTTCTGTTCTAGCTGTGGCCTATGGTCCAACTCGTCAACTTTTCTTTGGTACCTTTGCATTATCAAACTCTAGTTGTACAGTCGGTCGCTTTATTGTGGAACAGCTATGTTTCCTACAGAACAAGTTTGGACAAACGATAACGATTTTATATGGCTATAATTAAGTAACGAATTTAATAATTACAACCGCTATTTCAATGTCTGTACTCCTAGCGGCGAATTGTTATTCCCATTTCTGTAATACTAGCAGCATGTTTAATATTTATATTATACAAAGGCGCCTGTTTCCTCGTCGTTGGATTTTGTCAAAAGCGACGAATCGGGAATCTTTCTTTTTTATACTACACGTTAAAATAAATTAGTATTTTTTATAATTATTCTCTTCTCAATAATTGGTAAACTATATCGAAAACTTGTCCTTATTATCCCGCATTTCATTTTATCAGTGAAAAGCGTACAATTCAGTCTATGTATGTGCTTTATATATTTTTACTTTGACTTTACAATCAATCAAGGTTTAGAGCATTTATTGAATTACAAAGTGAAAAGAGCGTCGATGGCTAGACTTTACTAAATTATCCTATCAAATATGCTTGTCTGTAAGAAGTTAACGAAACTATGCAAAGAGAATAATCACATGTTTAATTTGCGTTTAATGCTATAACTTGATCATTAAGATATTATACAAATTACAATTTTACACATCTATCACTTATACAAATCACTTCCTCCTTTACAGCTATATTAATGTACAAAATCATTTTCTTTACAGCCTTACCAATGAAAAAAATATATATATATGATTTATATAAGGAAATACAAAATAAGATATGAAGAGATTTATATATTAACAGAACACACATGGAAATAATAACAATGAAAGCTGTTTCTCTTGCAGATATATTATTGTTTTATTCAGATAATAACAATCTCGCTTAATTTCATTTTGCAAAAACTATCGTAAGCACATATACATGCCTTTTATATGCATTATTTTCTCATTTTACAATTTAATTCGTATCTTTTTACTTACAATTAATTCGTATAATCTATATTCCAAAGGCTAGCATTTTTTATATATATAAATATATATATATGCATTTTTGTACAATTTCTTTAAATCTTAAGTACATAATATCTAGTTTGATACATATATAACCTCTTTTTTTTTAACATTTGTTATGTACTATCTAGCGCTGGTGTCTTAGCACTTAATATTTGCATTTTTGATCCTTTTCAACTATATTCAGTGTATGTATACTAAACAAAAAAACAAGACTCTAATATTACCTAACGTGATCCAGAAATACTGTATACAATATTCAAACATATACTAGAAAATAGTTATCTTTTTGATAAGGATCGTGGACGATCGCATTTATGTTTTAAACGCCGAAATTTAGCCAAGTTTTTACAGGTGGCATAAATGAGTTTTTCATCTCAAGTCTAGTTAGATTAAATAGACTTCCAAAAAATTATATAGAAGCTACACAAAGTATTTTACAAAATTGTGACGACACGTGTTATTACTTAACGCTTCTGTGTAATATTATATACTGAATAGTGTAGCCTGCAATACAATTCTGAAATATGCTTCGTCTTGTCAAAGAGATTTCAACGAAGAAAAATCATTTATATGAGTGAGCAAATCGCAATCAAAGATAACACGTATTAACACTGCCACTGACAATATCAAGTTAGTAAAAGACAAAATAAATCTTAAAACAACAAGCTATTAGAGATTAACTGTATTAATAAATCTCGTGAAACTATTGGTTTTAACTACATACATACACTGTGCTATTACTATATCGTATAATTAAACTCTACCCGGTAAAACATTTTTTATAAAAATTTTTTTTATAAAAAATGTTTACCGGGTTATTTAGTAAATTTAGTAAATTTTAGTAGAATTTTTGAATACATAATAGTATCGAATGATACAAACGAATCGTACACAAGTACAATTTGTGGAATGTGTGTTCGTTGGCTTATAACAATACTAACAGTTTCTTCTATACATATACTCAATACTGTGTTTCCACTTTTTAGAACTTGTTTAGAAGTTACGAAAATTATTATCTCTATTATACATTTACATTTGGTAAATAAAAGCAATGCAGCATGTATAACAAATGGAATATAAAATTACAAATATAAAATTATGAAACTTCATATTTTGCGCTATTCTCTATTTCTTTTATTCATTCAAAAATATCAACGCAGAAATTTACCTATGTAAATATGCAGATTAACGGGCGTCAAATATGTGTAACAATGTTACAAAAGTATAAATTTACCGCTTTACCTGAAATGCTTCGTCATCGTCTTCGTTAACAATTTGTTGTTGAACACTTTTCTGCTTTAGCAACGGCAGCAGGTATGGTATCGGTAGTTTTAGAGAATACGCACTGCCCGAGTAACTCTGGACACGATACATCGTTGGAGACGATACTGTGGATTTTCTTCAATAGATCGTAATTGATGCGCTGTGTTATTACAGCATCGTGCCTGTTTTTACATTTTATATTTGATTAAGGTGATATTTAAAAGTCAATATCAACAACTTGAAGAAACAAAGAATACACTCGCTTACTTGTATTCAACATGCGAAGTGACCTCTTTTCTCAGCCAAGCGGCGGTTGTCAAGAGTTCACCAGAAGCTCGTTTCTGTATTAATTTTAGGTATCTTTGGATAGTGCAGTGCGTATCGGCGTCTACATTCATGTTAGCTAGATACGAGTTCACAAGTGGCACAAGACCAGGGAATACGCCATTCTCGCCATTCTGAAAACGCAAGGAATGGTGATAAAATTTATCATTTGTAACGTAAGTTTACGAAATTCTTGTAGGCACCAGAAGAAAATTTATATAAATTAAACGCATGCAACATTTAGAAAAACGTATAACGCATGCAAAGCACTTTTGTCATGTATCTTTTATCCGATAAGCACCTTGCCATTAATAATTTCATTGATTGTAAATTCGGTGTATTCCGATTGAGTGTTGCCAGGTTTGATGTCGGAAGTAATGTCGCGACGAAACCAAAATTTCTCCGCCTTCACTGCATCTCTTTTCTGCGCCCTGACCATATTCTGATCAACTTTGCTGATCGGGATTAAGAGATTTAGCTTATAACTCAGAATGACTCTCGTTAATAGTACTGTGAAACAAACTATCGCGGCATTTTCGAAGTCCGTGATCTGAACTTCGCATGGACGGAATTCTACGCGCCAACCGATAGACGAATTTGGCGGTGGCGGCTTGAAGCGCATAGTTTGCCAGTTCGTAGATTGTATATTCTGAAACAGTATTGCAGTTTGTGAGAGTAAAGAAATGTCCGTCGCGACCACCGTATCGCAAAACTGACACTGCAATTGTAATCTCACCTCAAAGTGATCGGTATCTTCCAGGTCATTCTGATGGACCTTCTCGGAAAATAGGGAGACGCTGTCTCTGATAAACAAGTGAGCTATGTGTTGCGCGAGCAAGTGATCAATTCCATTATCCAAAAGTTGTTTATATATCTCGTCGTCGTACGTCAAAGGGACGTCGTTATATTTTTCACCCTGCTCGCTGAGGTACGAATCGATGGAGTCGTACCTAGACTTGCTGATCCGAAATTTGTTTTCTTTAAGGGGTTTCAATCCACGTTCCTCCTGCGTCCTGCAGTCCACCGACGAAGATATGACGTTCCACCGACAATCGACATCGCTTATATAGCCTCGATAAAATGGACTGGCGGCGGTTAGAGCCAACTGTCGAATGTTAAAGAAATCTTCTGTAACGTACGTAGGAAAGAACACTCTGTATGCCGCTATTATTTAATGAAAAGGAAGACGTGCAATTGTCGAATGACCGTAATAACATTATCACTAACCATGATTGGGCATAAAGGTGTCAGTTGATCGTATAACGTTCTGGCCTCTTCTATGTTACATGCCTGAAAGGTAAGTTGCAAACAGCAACATCCCATCCCAAAACCCATGGCGTCCATATAAATGTGATCATCTTTAGCTGCCTTTGACGATGATCCATCGTCTCCTTTGTTGGCGAGATCTTCTTTGAATAACAGCGATACGTTTTCATCTTTGTAAACTGAAAAATGATTTGGTTACATCATGTGGATTTGGTTACATCGAGTGGAAGATCTTCGAATCTTATCATTAATATAGGTATACATTATACAGTTCTAAGAAATCAGTGTCGCATACTAGGAATGTTTATAGCGACTTTCTCTTGACGTCGTTCCCTAATGTTCCTGGTCAGTGTCTTGAAACGCGGGTGACCGGGGTATATAGCTTCATCGGGGAAAAATAAACTCCTGGAGGCACCAGTGTTGGGCGTCGGATGAGTAACGGGATCGGTGAAATCGAGAGCTCCTACTCTGCGACATAAATAATAAAATTAATAAGAGAACGTCGAATATACCCTAACGGTTTCCCTTTTTATAACTACCTTGGGAAAACAGTTAATGACATCAAGACTTCGTTAGGTTGAAGTAACTTTGTTGCCTCCTGCCTTCGGTAGCGCATATTAGCCTCGACAACGTTGAAATGAGCTAATAATCCTCCGTACGGTTTCCCGGGAGTTCCCTCGAGCATATAAGCGCCATATTCTGGTCTCCAGAGTGATTTTACATTACTGCGTAAGTAATATTGTTATAACTCGTTATTTGTGAAGCCAATCTTGGCGCATAGATAAAATAACAGAACATGTAATGACTTGTAAATAGCAGGTTTTATCAATTAGAAATTTTCCAAGAATCTATAATTGGATTTTAACTGTTTCTACAGTAAATATTTGATAGGACATTATTTATTACAATTTCGTTTCTTGTATCTTCCTGAGTTTTAAATTAGAGATTATCTAACATTCTCTCAAGCAGCAAGAGAAGAGAGCGCTTACTTTTATGATATACATCCTACATTTAAACTTATTTAATATGTTCAAATATTTGCGCAATATTATGAAACGCGTACAGAGGAAGTATCGTACTATGTAACTTATTGTTAGACTTACTTTGGATCTTCGGTTTCTTTCTCATTTAAGGTTCGTAATATTTCTATAGCTCTTAAACTAAGCTTTGCAGTTTTTGCCTCATCATCAAATTTTACGAGTATATATTCCACCTGTACAACACAATTATATCAGACCAGTGTCGATTATCAAATACCAAGGTAAATGTTAAGAGAGCAATGACAAGACGGCTTGTGACTTAAGCCAACGGCACACGGTACTATTTTTCTTACTGAATTGCTTACGAGAGTCAATCAGGATTTAGTCACCTGGCCTAAAACGCTGCATTCTGATTAGCTTTCGTAAGCAATCCAGTAGGAAAAATAAAATCGTGGCTTTGGCTTTAGATTACCAAGATAAATAGGCAATATTCTGAATCGTGTAAATTTATATTACGTATCCAGTAATCCGGTAAAGGAGTGGATAGGCAATCAAAAGACAATCAATGGAGGCAGAGAGTTGCTTAGGCCCAGGTAGAACATAATAAAACCACCTATTCATCGTTTATAATCACTTCATCACTCAACTGACATCATAAGTAATGACATGCCTTCATTCATCATTTATGAGAAGTGTTATGTCATTACGAGTTTTACTTCTTTTTTTCTACCTGGGTGTCAAGTGGTAAATTGATGTACGTCCGCACGCGTACAAGGATCTAGCATCGATACACGGATACAGAAAGTTGCAGAATATTATTTTAAAAGCTAAAGTAGACCTAAAACATCGTACTTTTTTGCTCGGGTTTCGTTATATTTTCGCGATGGCTTGTTCCATTAGTTTTTATCCATATTTTTCAAGTAAACTTTCTCATTGATGTCTTATTATTTTTATCAATTTTATATTCGTAATATGTAGTTCGTACTTGTGGAACGTACAGTTTGTGCCTTAATTTCTGGCGCAAATTTTTGTAACCATGAGAATAAGAGGCTTGTTTTCTATTGCTGCACTGGTGAACTAGTGCAATAAATTAGAGTAGGATAAATACATTTTTTTCTCATTCTAGCTTACTGCACTAGTTCACCAGTGCAGACTCAGGGTGCTTTCCAGCAAGAGACACAAAATGACAGTGTAATACAGTGAATCGTTTTATCTTTTATCGAATTGGCGAGACGCCCGCCTAGAGTGTAGAGAGGACCAGGTGCAAACCCTGGCTGAGGTAATATTTTTCGCAGTAAATTTTCTGTGTTAAAAACACATCGCCAGCCATGGTCGATTAGAAGCTTGATCGTTCTTAGTCATTTGCTGGCGTCAAATAATTCTTGACGTTTTATCTTTGTTTGTCATTATTAAACAAGGCTGAAGTGATTCTCCGCGACTACACCGTATCAATCTGTGTCAATCTCTTGTTGGAAAGCACCCATTGCGAACTTCATTATAAATAATAAAATTCACAATTAGAAAATTTGCATTTGTACGATCAGACATTGTCTACTCTGGTCGCGGGGCTGGCAGAGGAGAATGGAAAAGTCTAAGGCCGGTATTCATAGTCAGATCTTATATTCAAGACTGTCTTAAGATCGTCTTTAGATACTCCGTAGCCAATTAAATGTTCCATACGGCATCTTTACGCGGAGTCTACAATGCGATTTCGCAAGATTAGGAAATTGGCCAATTACAGTCGAGTTATTCCTCCTCACATTCGACTATGATTGATTAATTTCTTAAATCTTATGTCTTAAGGCTGGTCTACAATGGAGTAAGCTGGAGTAAGGAGTAGGAGTAAGGAAATAAATCCATTTTATTTCTTACTCCTACTTCAGCTCTTAGGCTTACTCTCGGTGAATCAAAAATGCCATCAATCAGTGTTACAATTATTTTAAAAATCATGCCCGTATTTCAGCTTCCTTACACCAAAAGCTAGAAGTTAGGGCTCTCCCTTACTCCACGTATTGTAGACCACGCATTAAAGTCTCATTGCAGACGTCGCGTTACGTGGTGTCTGCAATGAGATGTCAAGACGTAAGATTTAGGAAATTGACCAATTACAGTCGAGTATCCTCCTCGCATTCGACTACGATTAATTTCGTAAATCTTACGTCTCAAAGTCTCATTGTAGACGCCGCGTTAGATAAATTCACGTCGGTCTTGAATATAAGATCTGATTATGGCCGGTATTCATAGTCGATTCTTATTTCATCAGACAGCGAAAGTCTTAAATCTTCTCTCTCTCTCTCTCTCTCTTCACAAGCTTCAGCTTATCAATGGGACGCTCAGTCTACATTTGCTATGTCTATGGAAAAAGATTTATAGTAGTACCAGTGGAATGTTCCACGAACACAAGACGAATATGTAATTGAGACGGGAAACTTATTGTCGACCCAACTGGCTAGTTATTTTATTAGTTTATTACACAACGTTTCGACCCTAATTTTTGTTGGGTCCTTTTCAGGCGGTACTGCAAATCAACAACGTAATTATATGAAATAGTGTAAGTTAATAAGTAAACGGCTGATAGTTAAGCAACGCACCCAAGTCAGTCATCGTCGTCGACTAGGACAGAGTCGAATTATAAAATACACGCATAAATATATAAGAATAGCCCATGGAGTGTTCCAAATATTCTCGAGGAATATTCTCAAAATGTTCACAGGAGTGTCTCGAGGGGGAAACCGCCGAGGGCATTAGCGGTGTGCAGATTTGCCGCATTACTGGGCATTAGGTCTTGCTGGGGCATTATAAAGATAATATAAGATAAAGTAATGCCCGCTGGGCATTAGTGGGGAGTTGGTGTCAAAGATTTGGGTCAACGGTTTCCCCCTCGGGGTGTCTTGTGCTATCTCGGTACTTAAGATGATTTTAAATACAACAACGGAGTACGAGTGCCGGCCTAAAGGCCTGTGTCCACGGTGCTAGAACTTGATCCAAGTTCTAGTTTCGAGAAATGTGTAGCCAATCAACCTGCAGCTATTCCATAAAAGCTGCAAGTTCATTGGCTACGCATTTCTCGGCACTAGAACTTGGACGCAGTTCTTGGATCGTGGACACAAGGCTTATGTAACATTGGGTTTGTTTTCTGTTTCTGCGCTGGTGAACTAGTGCAATAAATTAGAGCAAGACAAGCATACTTTTTCTCATTATAGCTTACTGCACCAGTTCACCTGCGCAGGAACAGAAAACAAACCTATTACTTTGAAGACATTGACAGAAACTTATGTTGTGCTTCGATAACGTTAGATTTCCTGGGCCTAAATTCCGTACACGATTACCGACGACCATTGATACGTTAACGACGTTTGCGCAGCTTTTTCTACATGATAGAAAAGCTGCGCAAACGTCGTTAACGTATCGATGGTCGTCGGTAATCGTGTACGGAATTTAGGCCCTGGTATCCCGACATCCCGTTCTGCTTGGAGATCTACACGTACACTCGTTATTTTCACCGGACGCTTAAACGCGCTCGGAAATCGTCTCTACGTACACAGCTCGAAATGTGTGTGCCTCTTTGTAAACAAACGTAGGTGCGTTACTGAACCTCTAACTATTTAACTAAGGCCATGGTCAAGCTGCCGCTGCAAACGTTTCGAAGCGTTTCTCTTCTCTTTCTATCTTTACTAAAAGATAGAAGAATACTCTGTAACATTTGAAGCGACAGCTTGACCGCAGCCTAAATCCTATTTATTTATTAACCTACATTGTTCATAATTGCGTTGACGTTGACTTGCAGTATCGCTCGAAAAGGACCCAAAAGAATAGGGTCGAAACGTTGTGTAGTAAACTAATTAAATAACTAGCCAGTTGGGTCGACTACAAGCTTCCCCGTCTCAATCTTTGTAAACAAACTTCGTTATCTCGCTCGCGTCCACGTTCGCCCGTCCAAACCCTATCCAACGAGGCAAACTCGCGTCCCGATTCGGAGAAAAAAAAAGTCTCAAGGATACGACGAACGTAGACAGCTTATTATCGGCGATTACGCGTAATGATGTACCGCGGTGTGCGGAAGATTTGCATAACGCGTGACACAACGCGAGGAGGAAAATGAGTGCCCCCCCCCCCCTACACGATAAGAGAGAGAGACAGAGAGCCTTCGATCCATTTTCCGCTGACGTCGCGATAAATATTTGAACAGCCGCGTCGCGGGCGAGCGGCGAGACGTGATACCCGCGTACCCCGAGTACGCGCGGTGCGCGTAGGTTAGGTGACGCGAGATGAGTCGGCGCGATTGCGGGGGGCGATGACGCGATATTTCGCGCGGTCGTCACGGCGAATCGGGTCGATCCCGATCGCAGCGTGTGCCGTAATCGGCGGTAATCCCGTGTACTACCTCGTCGCCCCACTTGAGAACGTCGCCCTGCCTGTCGCGGAGCCTCTTGTACAGGTTAATAAACTGTATAACCCCATGCTTGCGCACGTGATCGGACAGCTTCTTCGTCTCCTCCCAGCTCAGGGGGCTTCCCTCGGAGAGCAGGCCCATCCTCGGCACGCGCCTCTCGCAGGATCGTCTCACACCGGCTCGGCGCGGCACGGCACGGCACGGCGGGGCGGGAAGGGAGGCAAGAAGAGAATCCCGCGATCGCACCAGCTGCGACTAGCCGCCCTCGCTATCGCTCGCACTATCGGCCGCTAGTGCAGCGTGCGGCGCATATATATATACCAGCAGCGGCGCGATTTCTCGGGGATCTCTCGGTGCGAAAGCTCAATGATCATGCGCGAACTAGTCGCAAGTACCGGAGACGACGCTAACGCCATCTTCGCCAATGAACGCTTTTTTTTTTCTCTCCTCTTCCCTCGCCAAGGACGACCGAGACGACTCGCGCTGAACTCGACGAACGCGACGGCACGGCGGGACGATAAATGAAAACTCGTGGATTGTCTCGGTTTCACTTCTTTTTATTTCGCCGTCGGAACCGACCGCTTATAAAATTATTCAGAATTCGTTTCTCGTCCCTCCGACGGAGTCAGACGGCACGTCCACGCATGTCTTTAGTCGAACAGCCCGAAGCCCATGTCGTCGTCCTCCGACTCCGACTCCTCCTTCTTTTCTTCCTTCTTCTCCGCGGCGGGAGCGTCGGCGGCCGCGGCCACCGGAGCCGCCACGGCGGCGGCGGCGGCGGCGAACTTTGTGGGATCCTACGAGCAAAATTATCGATGAACACGACCTGTCGGCTGCACGCGCGTACGACGCCTGTGCCGCGTTTCGTTCAGACCGCGCCAGCGCGCTACGTCTCAACCGCGACCTCGACGCGTCAACGGGTTCAACTATTTCTAGCTTTGACGCGTGGACCAAGATCTTCAGACGCTTAACAGTCTCATCATGTCAAGGGATAATTAGAAAAACTAAACATGGTGAAGGTACAATGTGACAATCGTACCTTGACGTATTCCTTGATGGTGGTGGCCTCGGCGAATTCAACCTCGGTAACGGCAGCGACCGCGAGCAGGTTCTTAAAGCCGTTCGCGATGCTGTGCGGCGCGCTGGCAACCGTCGGGTAGCCGATCGTCAAGCAAACCGACGCCAAGTTGGCAACCCCGGCCATGAATTTCTCGCGCAGATCCTCGGGTTTGATGTCTAGAATCTCGGGCGCGAAGATGGTGCCGGAATCGTACACCTGTTCGACCAGCAAACCGTACGAGAAGGGAGAGATGTTGAGCATGTTCAAGAGCGTCGCTTCGGAAGCCCCCACCTTGTCGCCAGGCTTCAGGATGTGAACGTCATTCTAAAATTCGACAGCGCCGTTAAATATTTTGCGAAGGATTATTGCAAAAATTAGTCCCGGTCTGCAAGCGACTCAAGTCCTAAGAAAATGACCAATCGCAGTCGAGCGTTCTCCTCATTTCTGACTGCGATGGGTCATTCTTAAGGCCAATGTCCACGATGTTAAGGCCAATGTCCACGATGCTAGAACTTGGTCCAAGTTCTAGTTTCGAGAAACGTGCTTGCAGCTTTTTTCTCTAGTTGCGAGAAAATTAACTTGCAGCTTTTATGGAATAGCTGCACGTTGATTGGCTACACATTTCTCGAAACTAGAACTTGGACCAAGTTCTAGCATCGTGGACACAGACCTTTAAAGCCTTGTGTCCACGATCCAAGAACTGTGTCAAAGTTCTAGTTCCAAGAAATGTGTAGCCAATCAACTTGCAGCTTTTCCATAAAAGATACAGATTGATTGGTGGCACATTTCTTGGAACTAAAACCTGAACACAGTTCTTGGATTGTGGACACAAGGCTTTAAAGCCCAATGTCCACGATGCTAGAACTTGGTCCAAGTTCTAGTTTCGAGAAATCTGTAGCCAACCAACGTGCAGCTATTCCATAAAAGCTGCAAGTCGATTGACTACACATTTCTTGGAACTAGAACTTGGTCCAAGTTCTAGCATCATGGACACAGGCCTTTATAGACACAAGGCTTTAGACTGTGAGTTAAACTCGGGCATTTCTCATCGAGTACTTACGATGATTTCAATAGTACCCTTGGAGATCTTGGTCGGTATGCTCAAGGCTTGGAAGAACGAGGTCTTCTCAGGCCCAAGTCCCGTATTCTGCGCCGGAATGATGACGCTCAAGGGCGCGATGGCCCCAGCCCTGGCCGGCGCGCGCACCTTGTTCTCCAGCAGCTTGTCCCTCACCTCGATCAGGTCGCCGCGGGTGAAGACGAATCCGACGTTACCACGGATGTGTGGCAGCAACTTCTCCAACGCCGCGTTACGTTCGATGTGGCCGCGAATCGCCTTTCTCATCATGGTGTTCTTTCCCATAAGCACGACCGCGTTGCCACGCAGCGACATGCGGATCTGTTGCATCTGCTTCGAGCCGACATTGTCCGCGCCGACGATGAAGCACTTCGGAAAGTCGTCGAGTAGTTGCTAATATTTAGCAAAAAAAAGAATTAGTTTAACGAGTCTCTTGCAAGTTTTATAAATATAAAAATATAATTACGCAGCGAATATGCTTGTTCGTATATTTAATCGTGTATTACGAGCACGATGGCGGATACAGAGGTAATGAGGAAATATTTACGACAAGTTTGGTGAAGTAATTGGACTTCCATGATGCCTTATCCTCCCTACCCATCTTGAAAAGTGTGTAGGGACACCTTGCGGAAATTTAAGGACTGGAACCAATTAAAGATAAAAATTAGACCGCGGCACACAAAGACAGCGCGACAGAAGGTAGATCGGGAACTTGCTCAGACAATAGAAACTATATTTTTCATACATATCGTTCAGGAGTGTCACAAGTGGGTTCACCTATTTCTAGGTCTTGTGTCTCTTGAACGTTTAGACGCGTACTTTTTCTCATCATTGTGGGGCGTACTTAAATAAAGCAATGTTTCTTTCGGTTCAATATGCGAAATTCGCGTGGCACGACGCAAAGAAGCCCTCAACTATCCGGGCACACGGTACCATAACCTCACATCCGATATTGGCTAGAATTAATTGCCCGATATATAACTCTTGCATTATTTTTATATAAAAATGATGCACGTGCAGCATCGTAGGTTCAAGCTGGACAATACAAGAGTAAACTGCTAAAACGATATCGTAGAAATAAGGACCGGGAACCAAACGTACCTCAGCAACGAACGGCAACGCGATGGAAAAGGAAACGGAAGTTGCGGGGTAGACATGATTGAATTTTAGACCCCGTATCTCATGAATCCTTCAAGTCGCCGGATTGTCCAATGGCGAGCTCGCGAAAGCCTCATTGGCGGAAACTGCAGATCGTCGTTCGGCAAATCTGTTCGCGAATAATGGATTATTTTACGTGCATGTATATTGTTTGGGCTTGTTTTCTGTTCCTGCACTGGTGAACTAGTGCAGTAAGCTAGAATGAGAAAAAATATACTTGTCTTACTCCAATTTATTGCACTAGTTCACCAGTGCAGGAACAGAAAACAAGCCCATTTTCACCAGTGCAGGAACAGAAAACAAGCCCTTTATGTCTACGCGAATTTTTAAAGACAACGCAAGCAACGTGAACTATAAGTTGAACGATTGAAATTGATTGATCGATTTCTTCCAACTGATTTTTGTAAACAGCCTTAGAAGAAGCAAAAAGTAGTTTCAAATGTATTTTAGTAATTCATTTATTAACAATTTATTTATTAATTAGCAGATCGATCGTGTTGTTGGGGCTCTCAGTCGATATCGGTGCCCGTCGCGCCATCTAGCGGCCTCGCACCGCGTTCCGTGAAAACGCCGCTGATAAGAATCTCGGCCGTCAAGTGTTTCGATTTACATTAAAACGTTACTGACACGTAGCGGCAGGAGTAACGCGCGGGTGTCGAGTGCCGTCGAGCTTGATGTAGTAAGTAGATAACCACTTTATTCGGCGCGTTCTTCGCGCGCGGCTCCGCGCGCCGCGAGAAACGGGTCTTACCGCGCGCTCCTTCCCTCTCGCCCTACGTGCTTCTCACTCTCAGGAAAGGGAGAGGATAGAAAGTTCGTACGAGGGGGAGAGACGAGCGTCCAGTGACGTTTCTCCGCGTCTTCTATGTGGCTCCGCGGCGCAGTCTGAAAATTCTCCGAAGACCCCCCCTGTGTCAAGTGGGAAGGCGTATCTGCGCGTAAGCAATAAAGCGTGTCGATGGTCCCACGGTGATCGCGATTGCGGTCGCGGCGGTTCCTCGCGACGATACGCCTCGCGAGCGGCACGCAGGTGTGTCGAATGTCGTAAGCGTGTCCGTCGCATTCACCCCCCGAGTTGTCAGTTGTAAGTACCGCGCGGTGTCTCGGAGAGCGTCGCCGGGTCCTCGCGACTCCTCGGCCGCCGAGACTCGGTGCTCTCGTCGAATATATATCGCAAAAGAAATGACGAGCGAACGAGAACGTATATTTGTCAATGGTATTCACTTGCAAAAAGATTCAGCCGAAGCGTGGTCGACGGTGCTTAACATGGATGCGTGCGTTGCAACAGGGATGTCGCAGATTACGGTCACGTCAAGTGGGATGGAGCGCAGTATCCACGAGATGTTGAAGGACGCACCCTCCCTGAACGAGAGCGACAGCGCGGTGCACACCGGGACGCCGCCGCCCCACGTGCCCAACAACTGCAGCGGCGACGGCCACCCGAGACCGGCCACCATAAACCTGAGCCTGGGGAGCCCGACGACTCAGATCTGTAAGTGTCGAACGCTCCTCTCCCGCGCGCTCACTGTCGGCCGGGATGGTACGGCTGTAAAATCGAAGCGAAAGATGTCTGTATTCCCACAGCAGTCTCCGTCTCGCCGAGCACGCCGGTACAGAACGGCGACACGCAGACCATGCGCACCACCCAGAGCAAAATTGAGAGCCTGAAGAATTGGAGTATCTCCACGTACAAGTGTACCAAGCAGTTAATGTACGAGAGATTAGGGAAGACATCGCGCACCGTGGACTTTGGTGAGTCCCCGCCTGGGAGGGTATCTCCTCAGTGGCCTCGCTCTTCTTCGTGAAACGTGACGAGCGTCCTCTCTTTGCATTTCAGAACTCGAAACGCAGATCGAATTGCTCAGAGACACCCAGAGGAAGTATTGCAACGTTCTGCGACTGTCGCGGGCTCTTGCGTCGCACTTCCATCACGTCGTTCAGACGCAGCACGCTCTCGGGGAGGCGTTTTCTGAATTGGCGCAGAAATCGCCCGAGCTTCAAGAGGAGTTTCTGTACAATTCGGAAACGCAGAGAAATTTAACTAAAAACGGCGAAACACTTCTAGGGGCCTTAAATTTCTTCGTTTCCTCTGTGAATACCTTGTGTAATAAGACGATCGAGGACACGCTGCTCACAGTGAGACAATACGAAACCGCGAGGTACGCGACTCTTCATTCTGGCTTGGTTTTTCTATTTCACTTATAACAGCCGCTATTATAACGTAATGATCCTACAGGATAGAGTACGATGCGTATAGGACGGATTTAGAGGCTCTTGTGCAAGCTACAAAGTCGGATAGTAACAATGCGGCAAGACTAGAGGAGGCACAGGCTAATTACGAGGGGCACAAGCAGAATTTCGAAAAATTACGCTCGGACGTTTCGATCAAGTTGAAATTCTTGGATGAAAACAGGGTATTCTATTCAGGCGTTAATCCCTTTACAAATTGTCGATTGATTATCGATTAACTCGTGTCTCTTCTAACGAGCACCTCGTTTTCAGATCAAAGTGATGCACAAGCAATTGCTGTTATTCCACAATGCTGTGTCCGCCTACTTCTCGGGGAATCAAACCGCATTGGAGGCAACTCTCAAACAATTTAACATCAAGGTGAAATCGCCGAATTCCACTTTACCGTCGTGGCTGGAGCAGTAGTCGAATTAAATTGAACACGTCGTCCTAACACGAAGGATGTGAAATGTACAAGTGCGCTCGTCCACCGAATTATCCCGAGTTTGCAAAACGCAGAAAGTAAAGGTAGAACAATTATTTAAAAAAATAATAATTCGACGATTGCCAGTACATATTGTGAGCTGCCGTTTAGTTTGACAACTTAATGAAAGGAGTGAAAAATTGCGAGATTCACATGGTGTATAAACAGACTGAATTCAAGGTGTAATATTGATCATCAGTATTGAGCATTATATACATATACAATATGTATCATAAAGTTGATAATTCTTTTAAGAGAATTATACAGATCCGTAGAGGAATCTCTAACCAACTTAGGCAACGTTTTCGATAATTAATTTCTAACGCTTGAACATTTGAGGAGGCAATAGATATTTAATTTTTATATTTCTCTTAGAGGAGTTTCAAAATGTAAATACGTAATGTGACGTAACATGATAAATGGAGCCTTCTATTTTACAGCGTATTAGTGGTATTGATTATTATCATACTGTATCACACTTTACACACGCATCATGAACGTATAGCTTAACGACGATGTGTATGCCCACTGTATCTTAAAAGACTAACTTTTAAACTACACATGCATTGTTTCGTCAAGGTTTTAAAGTTAAAGTATGATAAATTTATAGACTTTTCTATTTATGAAGATAGTTATTTAAGCTATTTATGGGAAATTAATTTGTTGAAAGCAAGGAAATGAATGGATTGGAAATCTCAATATGTGTTAAAAGTGTACATTAATTGCACGCTAAAGATACATACAATTTTAATCTCAAACGATTCTCTGTTGTACCATATCTTGCTGCTATAATTATCATATTTTGTTTCTATGATCAGAAACTATGGCAAATGCCGTAAGAGCATAAATAAATATTACATAACTGATATATTTATTTGCGGTCATATCTATCATGATTCATTTATCGTAAAAATGGATTAGATTTTCTGTAGTAATTGATTGTAGAGAAAAGTTATATAATATATTGCATTTTTCAAAAATTTCTTCACATAATTTTTGCTCGAAGATTTATACTTTCAGGCTTTCAAGTTGCGAACAAAACACTGCAAAGAGATACTAGTCATTTTCTTACCCAAGTATTATATTTATTTAAAAATTATAAGAAAATAAAACTGATGTCATTAAACGTCAAATGAACGAATTTAATTGCTTGCGCTTGTATTCTATAGTGGGAACATATATGCATACGCTACGTACACGTAGTTTGCAATTTTCAGATTTTTTTTGGGGAGGAACCTTTGAGTATGTTTTATAACAACAGATGTATGGCATTTTTAACGACGATCATTTCTTACTTGCCATGATAGTGATAATCATTGCAATTAGCTACGATTAACAAACAATTAAACTAGTTAGTAGGAAGATACGTAATATTATGATGTTATGCCACAAGATTGCGAAGATGATTCTTCCAGCGTGTAAATGATATTTAATAGACATTTCACATGTGTGTATGATGAATGTATACAAAGTAAATGTACAAGATATCACCAAAAGTCTTGGAGAATCACTAGATTACTATCATTTTACGCTTGCATCTGTTATCCAAGGAGTAATAGCGCAAAGATATTTGATAACTGGCCTGTGTAATATGTAACGCTGCTACATTCGTATCGTGTATATATTCCTTGCGCTAATATAATGTGTAAAGACTTTACGAGCGTGTATCTTTGCTCTAGTATATAATTTTGCTACGTAATTAAGTTGCATTCCAAGACACATTGGAAGTGGCAAATGCTTATCCGTCATAACTTGATATTTGTTTTTTAATTGATATTACGTAATGTTGCAACAAAAATGATATTGTTTTCCATCAAATTATGTAATTTAAACATTTTGTTATTTATAAAATATATAATAACTGAAACAATTATGTGTTCCTAACTATGATGTTATCATGTGTGTATATTATGTGTAAATTCTCTCAACAATAAATAATTACTTATAGTAAAAGGAACACTTCCCTTTTTAATAATTTAATCTCTCTTGTAAAATATATTTCTACAGAGAAAAATGTTCAAGGCAAAGTTGAGTGACGGCAAACATTTTTACTAGATTAATTCACAGCGATAAGACACATTTGGAAAAGATCATCTATATATCTACTTAAATGTTTACACGACCAATATAAAGAAATGGGAGGAGATATAAATTGCGCATTTTCTTCTAGATATACATATATATCCACATTTGTATGTACATTTGTAAGACATTGTTAAATGATGAAATTCGTAAGGCTCAGATGTGTTAAACACAAATTTGGAGGAATAAGAAGACTAAGAGCCGTGGCAGGATGTTAGTGTCTAAATAATATTCTACATTTATTACGAAATATAGAAAAGTATGCATGCCTCACAATCAATCGAATTGGTGGGATACCTGCTTAGTGAGGTGACATTTTTCGCAATAAATTTATAATATTATTTAGAACAACCTGTCATGGCTCTTAGCCTTCTTGTGCCTTCGAATCATTCTTGAATGGTTAGTTTATATACATGTCGATAGATCTACGCGACTTACGTTGCGAAGCAAACTGAAAAAATTGAGAAACTATTGAATTTACCACATGTAACTAGCGAAGATGTATCATTGTGGATTCTCTTCCACTTTGAGCTGCTGATCTTGTGCTTCTAAGGCCGCCTGAGCTTGGTTCATTTCGTTCATTCTTTTCTGCACCAGTATGGGTTGCACCTCCATGAATATTTCCATTATCTTGTGATTAGCGTGGATGTATTTCTGCGCGCAGTTGCTCACGCAGAGATTCTACAAATTTCAGTAGTGCCGATTTGTATCAGATAGCGCAGTCATGGTCTAAGCGCTGGTCTACAATACGTGGAGTAAGCGTGGAGTAAGGAGTAAGGGAGAACTCTAACTTCTAGCTTTTGGTGTAAGAAAGCTGAAATACGGGCATAATTTTTAAAATATTTGTAACACTGATTGATGGCATTTTGATTCGCCAAGAGTAAGCCTAAGAGCTGAAGTAGGAGTAAGAAATAAAATGGATTTATTTCCTTACTTCTACTCCTTACTCCAGCTTACTCCATGTATTGTAGACTAGCCTTAATATACCTTCGTGGGAATACTTACTTCATCAGAGGTAATCTCTCTCGAGAGAAAAGTATTCGCACATTTCTTGAAACACGTCTCAGATATCTGGTTGTAGAGCAGAAGGAAATCCTTAAACTATCGAAAACAGGTTTATCGTAATCTCGTTCGACGATTAAGATGATTATAACTAAAAACTGTAGACCACGCGAAATATCGGTGAAATTTAGACGAACAATCAAATTGTACTCAAGATACACACATTTCTCAGCTGTAACGTTTCCATGCGGATAGCCGGACACTTTCACCGTTTTATAAAACTGTTTCTCTCTTTGTGCGACAGTTGAAATGTAATCATAAAACGTGTAAAAGCTTTGACAATATATTAGAAGCGAGATAACCTTTCCTAACACGTGGGTTGGTATACACGGGTCTGGAAACATCGAATTTCGAGTGGTGGGGGTGTTCCATTAACGAGTTAGATTTTTGTTCGCGCTATTGTCACTGTGCGTCGCTGTTGTTAAGGGATGTGTGCAAGAAACATAATTTGTGCTATATTGGTGCGAGTCCAACTAAATATTTCTGATTTTGTCGACAGAATTGCCTATATTTAGTCTGGACTCACACCAAAAGGCAAAGTTTGTCGATAAAATCGAATTTAGAGGGTTTTACTTTACCGCCGCCGATAATTAGAAAGCTGCATTATCGACCCTAGACTACTTTATCGACCGGTATATGTTGCAACTATCAAAATTACTCGGGGATCAAATAATTCGGGAGCGAGATAGGCGATTCTAAAAATGATGTGTATGTACATTTTAAATCGCAAAATCGATAGTTTTGAAGAAAAGAGGTGACACTAATTACAATATTATAAAAATTACTATTTCAGAAATTTCGAAAATTTACAAAATTTGAAGCGTGGAAGCTCATTAAATTCTCAAAAATGGAAACGAATAAGAAGTAACATCTCATCACGTCAATTTGCCCTGCAAAGATACAATAGCGTACACGTTTCGCATTATTGTGCGCTGCTAACCACGTGCTCCACGTCGCGACGTCCGTCCATTTGATTATCATAGATAAGATATCTCGTGCGAGGAGCGTATTTTAAGAAATCTCTTTCTTAATTCTTTCTCTCCCGAAGAACGTTCTTCAACATGATCCGAACGTTCTCATTCGCGATTGTACTGTCTGGCTTTTTGCATACGAGTAAGTAAGCTTTTACAGTGTCTTTATTATTGCTGGAGAGAATTATAATTAATATACAGTCAAGAGAATAGAAGATGTGATTTTTGTCCATGTTCAAGATAGACCTCGTAGTTGTTTTGTTATCGCTTCGCCTTTTACGTGCATTGGATATTCTGCGCTTCTGGTACAGCTTATTAATTACGTTCGATAAACAATACGATGACCACGCAGAAGGATACAGTTTAAACGTTATACAAAATCTTTTCCAGTGGTTTACTCACGAGAGGAGTATTTGTGGTGTTACGATTGCAACACGGACTTAAGGCATGGACATAAAAGAGATTGCAACGACCCTTACACACCCGGTGCTCTCGATTTGGTCGCCTGCCCTCGGAATGAGTCTCATCAGTGCCACAAAAGTATCATATTATGTACGTAAATTAGACACTAAAAGTTTTACTCATTACATGTATAATTTAATACAAAATACCATTGAGATGATGACCCTTATAGAAATGTAAGCGAAATAATTACTAGAAAATTACTGTACATCAGTAATTTCTAATAATTCAGTTGCTGAACTCTAGTAATTGTTCGGTGCTTTCTTCGTTCCCAGTTGTTACATTTCTGTAAGGAAAATTCCTTTCTTAATTACTTAAGTAGAAATATACTAGTTGAAATATATTAAATTGGATGAAATTTATGCGAAATAAACATAAAATGTACACAATACTTTTGGCAGATAGAAATATTTTGGTGACGGTACGAGCCTGCGTGTCATCGCGTCAGATCAGCGAATACTGTAACTACGGAGACAGTTTCCCGCATTCGAACATCGACTGTTATTTCTGCAAGGAAAACTCCTGTAATAGCCACGAATTATTCAATCCTGCGCCAGAATGGTGTCTCGGACTTGTCGCAACCATTTTGTCATGGATACTAACATAGAGACACGTAGCTAATTGAAATTTTACGAAACTCATTGACGTATTATTAAGTTTAATTCTACGTACACGTGATAACAATGTGACAAGCTCCGAAATGTTTATGCCCGCTCGACGACATCTTCACGCCCGACAAAGTCGGTTTTCAAAACGCAATTGACGGATATAAAAGAAAATTATAAGATACTTATATAATTCTTTAAAATAAAAATGTCCTTGAAAAAAATACTAAATTGGAAAACCGTGTTTCAGCTGCAATTACTTGTCGTCTCTCTCGCAAATAATTTGTAAAAGGTGACTTTATCAATTATATGAGACATTTTACAATTGAATAAATAAGATTGGCTACCGGAAAAGATTAATAAATCTACTGCACAGTGATGAATAAGAATATAACTCTTAGTCACACAGTTAATTTAACGGCATGATCATTTTAGCGTAAGCTGAAATATGTTCGCCGACGATTGTGCTCTGAGAAATTTACGTACGATTCGCTCTCTTAATTCTGTTACAACTGTAGGACAAATGGATAATTAGGAAGATTAGACGTTAGCGACGTAAGGTTGTTGATATGGAAAAGACCCCAGGCTCCGTGTGGCAGACGGTTCTAATGTTCTAAAGACATTCGAGCTTAAAGAGATGCTCGCGATCACACGGTGATTAAACCGCTTCTTTAGATATAGAACATATTTTATGCCTAATAAAATAACTGGAAGAGTGAATAGTTGACGAGAGTTATTTCATATTGCATGAACTCGAGTTTACTGTGCACGCAAAACATAACAGGGGAAATTAATTTGCATAAAGTAACAATCATTTTTGACAGTCTCGCTTAAAAAAATTAAAATTAATTCTTGTCCGAAGTATCTAAGACAAAGAAATTAATATGAGTGAGTAATTTAGTCAGTCACCTTGTATGCACGTATCAGATACGTGTGTGTATGTGTGTTAAAGGTACGCGAGACTTTTTTCTCAGCCCGTTTTGAGGTCGAATATTTCGACACGCTTGACCGGAACAGCTAGTTGCTAGAAATTAATGTCGCTGAACGAGCCACGAACTTCTAAGTACGCAACGTCCTCCTCGGAAATGCTAACAATAAACTTCATTTTACGTTTAACGCACATGTACATCAGATACGTGAATGAACGGCGCGGAAACGATTACCAGAGAGGACCAGGTCAAATACCAGAGTCAAGTCGCTAATGTTCAGCAGGGTTAAATGCTTCCTTGACCTCCCTTAATGAGTCAGCAGGACACACATTTGCAATGTTAAGTATTTCGGAAATCGTTTAGAGGAATGCAGAAAAGGGATGAAAAAGAGAATTTTCTTCCAGCGAGGCGTTCATTTGTATTCCTTGAGTTTCGACACACGTGCGATCGTATCTTCGTCAGGAGATGATCGATCGCAAATGAATTCAAGGATACGTAACCGGCGAGAAACTGCTAACCATAAGCTCACAGCACACTCGGTGTATGTACATTTTACATGGATTTTATGTTACTCGAGGAAGGAATCGCGCGTTAGGCGAAAAAGAGAAACCTCGTAGCGATCGGCGGGACGGACAGCGGGGAAGAGAGAGAAAATGTGAGAGGGAGAGGAAGAGGAGTGCACTTGGCAAAGAGGGTGTTGGTTCCTCAGTATCGTACTGGACACGTTTGGCATCGGTAGTACCGAAACGGCCTTCCGGATCGCTCGGCAATACATATCGTCGTTTACGAGGACGTCGTGAATTATCGAGGAAGGGTTTCCTTCACGAGCTCCTACGGGGCAGAGTCGATTTTGCGATTTCGGCGACCGCGTCGGTTCTCCAAAATGGTTTCCGCCGAGCGCGCAGCGATCATCATCTTCGGGCTGGCCCTCTTCGTAACTTCAGGTGAGCCCGCGCTAATTTCCACGTGGAAAGCTCTGTTGGGAAAGATTTGGAAAGAGATTGTTCTTGTGAAACGAACGGAGATGAAAATGCGCAGTGTATCCCTTGGCCATTTTGAATAGTTACGCGATGAAGTCGCTCTGCCGCGCACTCCGTCTCGTTTGTGAATACACTAGAAGAAAACAAAAGTATTAAAAATATTATTCTTGCCCTTTCTCATGAGTAAATTTTATATATCTTGTGCAAAATTGTACGAATTATATTATATATTGTAGAGAAAGTGTGCAAAATTACGCGAATCGCAGAATTCCTTACAGAAACGCAAGCGAAATAATTACTAGAAAATTACTGTGCACCAGCAATTTCTAATAATTCAATTGCTGAACTCTAATAATTATTCAGTGTTTTTTTGTCCCCACAGTCATTACATTTCTGTAAGGGATTGCATGGAAAACTGTACGTGTTTTCGCTATAAATCGTGCGTTGCAGCTTATATTAAATAATTTTACATTCTTTTACAATATAATAAATGTTATAATTGCCTGCCAAGTTTTTAGGCCTGTCTGCCAATGCAATCTCAAGAGCTTTTAAACTCCCTTCACTCATCTGTACTGCCAGTAAAAGTATCCTCGTTGTGTCGATTTCATAATGTTAGAAAAATATATAATTATGATATCACAATTATGAAATATATATATATATTACGTATACGATTATTATGATATTATACAATTGCATGATATCAATCGAGTCAACAGTTTAAAATTTCTTATAAATCTTCGCCTATTTCCAGAGATCCAATTATTATGTATGCAAATTAATGTTCGCAATCTCTGCATGAGTTTGTAAAGATGTCGGAACAATAAAAAAAAAATATACACACATACAGCAAAAGAGATCAGGATAACAGATATTACGATTATATAATGCAACGATAAATTATCCTGTTTTTCTTTTTTTTTATGTTGTTATATGTACATGTGTACATATGTATATATGTACACACACATACACGCAGTATGTAACTCGACAGGAAATGTCTTGAAATGAAAAAAGATTATTTATATGTTTATATATGTGTATATAAATATATAAATATATATATAATCTGTTTTATTTCATGGTATTTCCTTTCGAGTTTCATACTGCGTCGTGCCTCACTGCACTTTTACAATGGTGACAACCTGATTGTAAGCAGAACTGGCGTGCGCCATTAATATCGACGGTTACTCAGCATTACATCACATCTTAATCATACCCGCACCTGTTTTCCTTTATAGAATTGCGCAGATACCGCCTCCATTGGTGACTCCAATTGAGATTTAGATGAGCTTCCGTGATTTATATTCTGCGGATGTCTCAGGCGCGAACGGTATCTTTTTAAAAATAAAAACGTATGCCTGTTACGTGTATCTTGACGCAAACATATGTTCTGTAATCTACTAGACATGATAATATTGTTTTGCACACACCGCGGATCATGTACTCTCTAAAATTCAATGGGTTAGCACTGAAAACAGTGAATATTCACTGATTCACGGTTATAAGTATAGCGTTGAATAATTCAGCGCTATACTTGTAGCTGTGAATCAGTGAATATTTCCAGTGATAATGCATCGATTGATTTTTACAGAGTGCGTCCTCAACATTGAGATGTTTTCGGATTGGATTTTGCGTTATGATTTTTTTACAAATTATATTAAAAATTATATTTTTATTAATATTAACTCAATGCTAATTTCATAGTGTGTGTGCGTGTGTATAAATTTTTTATCTTTCATTTGATCTCTAATTGTACAAAACTTATCAGAAACAACTGAAGGACATCTCGCAAACCTGAGGAATTCTAATTGTAAAATTTCGTAAATTACGCTAAATAAATGAACGTAGAAATGACCAAGTAATATTATTCGGCCATATCTGGCGGAAAATTTTATTACGAAAAATATTATCTCAGGGTTTGAACCCGGATCTCTCTACACTCTAGGCGGGCGTCTGAACCAATTACTAATTGAGGTAATATTTTTCGTAATGAAAGTTTCCGCCGGATATGGTCGAATAATATTACTTGTTCAGTTATCTAATACCGACAAAGAAAGTACACTCGTGTTAGAGATGATCAGTTGATGCTAAAAAATGGTTTTAATAGATAAAAATGGCCTCACACGTAAAATTGTTGGTTTTCCTCGATACACCTCAAAAACTATTCGAAGTCAGACTGTTTTATAACAAATTTAGGAGATTGAATTATCACAAATGGTCTATGATACAAAGAACTTATATTTAATCGCATAAATAACATTCTAAAAGAACAATCACTTTCAAGAACTCGCTTCTTTGCGCTCCTCACATATAAAAAAATATCTATCGCCATTATACATGACACTATAAAACGAAGAAATGTTTATTCTGAATGTACGTAAATATTCTTTATGAATATTTAATATTTTCTACATTTACCCGATACATGGTACACGTTTACACCCGATACTCGCAAGATAAATCATGTTTTACGAATTTTCCTTCGCGCGTCCAACAGGTTCCGCCTTACGATGCTGGGTGTGCTCCTCCAACGTAAACGTCATGTGTAACGACCCGATGAACACCACAGATCATCAGGCTGCGTTCCATATAAGGACTTGCGACCCAGGCCCTTACGGCTCTTCAAAACCCATCTGCCGCAAAATCGTCAAACGAGGTAACAAAGCTCCCCGCACTTTTGCATTCAGATTTGCACGAAAAACGAGCTTCCCAATGTATTCATCGAGTATCCGCGGTGATTTCAGTAGTCCCTCAATTTTACGTACAACGTAGCCCGTATCAGACTACACTGAAAAAAAAAATCTGATAGATTCAACCAGTCGTCTGTTAGAAAGTGGACGAATCAGAATTCCTTTAGGATTTACCATGAAAGATATTTCATAACCAGAAGTTTGCTAGAACTTCACTACACATCTGGTAAATCCTAAAGGAATTCCGATTCGTCCATTTTCTAACAGGACGGCTGGTCGAATCTATCAGATTTTTTTTCAGTGTACTGATCTCGAGTTCAGTGACTTTTACTCTAATTGGTCAAATTTCAATCTGATCTCAATCTCGATCCGCAGTCCGATACGGGCTTCAGGCCGCGCTCCACTCGATGCTTACGAAGTGCTCTCGCATTCTTTTCCTATCTTCTTTTTAATGAAAATAGAACGCAGTAGGAGACGAGCACTTTAAAGCATTTGCAGCGTCAAGTGGACCGCGCCCTTTAACGTGGATGGCGCTAACGTTGAAACGCTCCGCGAGATAACGCGTACGTTTCTTCGCATCCCAACAGCCGCCTGTTTCGCGCGGGTGTCGGTTCCTCCGTCGTTAACGTGTGCATGTGATAACGCGAAAGAGAAAAAAAAAACCGCCGCGTGACCGTGACGGCAGGAAAAATTCTGCCCCGCGAAATACGCCGCGCGTGCGCGTGCACGCGGGCCGGGCGTCCCGCGATAGCTTCTTCAGGCGGATGACGCATTGTGAAGTTGCATCTGTTAAATCGCATCTTTTTAATGCGCTGTATCCTCTTCCCTCCGAGACTTGTGACGACGCGCGCGGTAATACGCGTCGCGATTGAGTCATACCGGCGCGCATAGAAATGACGATGATAATTGAACGTTAAAACAAGGCCGGTGCCACACCTACGGAGAGAAAAAAAACATTGCTGTTGCGCCACCGCGGGCTCGCGATTAATTTCGGGCCAGGGTAACACACGCCTCCTTGTCCCCATCTCTCTCTCGCGCGCGCGCGCAACACGTTGTTAAATCTGTCATTGCGTGGTTTCACGGCAAATCGAACGTACTAACCGCACGTCGAATTCCGTCAATCCGACGGAATTCTAGCGTGACGAGGCAGCGTGCGCGAAATAGCGAGCGCGGCCGCCACGTGAACGCAAAAATTACGTAAGCGACAATAATAATCGCGCCATTAAATCGACGCTGGTTCTGCCGCTCGCTGGCGCACAGGAAAAGATGACCCCGAAACGATCGCGCGCTATTCAAGGACTTTCCGAGAAGTTCCCTCGCCCGCCCCCGTCGGTTTCCCAGGAAATGTCTGTCGTACGGGACGAGATTTCGCGAGACGCGCGAAAGAAATACGGACGTGCGTCACACTCTTAGTTGAATTTCGAGCCGACTTTAGGCGACCTATGAATCGCGGACTTCAGGACGGAATCCCGTGAATAATTTTTGTTTTAACGCGCATGCACGCGAATCTAAATTATTACATGTGGAGGAAATCCTCTATTATGAGATAGGTTTCTGAGATAGCAGCTTTTCAACGCTCAAGTTCAATCGCAAATCCTTTTCCGCAACGATTACAACGATGTGCAGATAGAAACAGATTTCGCTTCAAAGGCGATAAATTTATTTTGGAGTCGACAAACGATGTCTACCCGGGAGAAAATGAAAAATCTGATTATATATGTCTCAATCATGCGATATCTAAATATATCTCATGAGGTCCAATTCTAAAAATCATCAGATCCTCAGAGATCTGACACTCTTATTGGATGTCCGACGTTATCTATTGAGATCTAATTAAATCTATAATGTCCTAAGAGAACGTAATTAGATCTCAATAGACATTAACATTGAATATTCGATAGAAGAGTCAGGTCTCTGAAGATCTGACGATTTCATAATTGGACATAATTAGACATTACACGATTGAGGCATACGTGATTTCCATTTTTGTCCCGGGTATTAATTTAACAGAAACCCCGCTATCTCGTGTTAGGAGACTATGTCATAATAGGGGACCTTCCTCCATACAATACAGAGTGTCCTTGCACAATGATTCAGTTTCTAAAAATTGGCACAATTCCGAATATGACAAAGAACTATGCGAAGCGACGCCTTCACGATTAGTCAACTATAAGTGCCTCCCACCCAGTCAGAAATGACTCGATCCATGTCGAAGCGATGTCGAATCGACGTCAATATGACGGTTTCGATGTCGGTACGACATCGTTTCGACGTCGATCGACGAGTCATTTCTGACTGGGGCATTTAAAAGCCACGGCATTTTGACGTAAGGACCTTTCTCAGAACATTTTACAGACTCGGTGAAAGGATTATCAAGCTTTCTACGACACTCTGCACACGATGCGCAAACATAAATTATTTATATCGTATAGTATCACACACGTTTATACGGCCGGGCTTTCAAATGTCTGCCGCATCGCACGCAGAGCTATAAATAGAATTTGATCCTAACACGAAGCGAGGTACGAACGGGCCGAAGGTCCCGATTGCTTGTTAAACGATTAATCTGTGTTTAGAATACGGCGAGCGAATTATCATACGCCAGTGCTCCACTCCGTATCACGATGAGATCGACGTAGTCAACGGCCAGTGCGGCAACTCCATGTCACAGCCGGGACGTGATGTAATCGAGTCCTGCCACATCTGCAGCACCGATTTGTGCAACTCCGCAACGGATGCCTCCGCGACGAGGCTGCTTTACGTCGCCACGCTGATACTTCTCGCCTGCACTTTCCACCAGTCGAAATACGTTCTTTAACTACCATGACAATAATCTATATAGTTAATAATACAAAAGGAAAAGAGAATGGAGAAGAGAGCGATTCGAACGATAGCTACGAGAAATACTTAATGTTGTAAATCTACGACTAACAAACTTCCACTACGAACGTACACGCTGTTTCCCCGACTTGATGGCGATTCGAAAGACTTGTGTAAAAAGTGCGGCTGGAGAAGCCCTTACGTAATTCTCTCCCGGTTCAAGTGCAGTCCGTTATTGCGAGACGAAAATTATGCGAACGAGAAAGCGGATTTTTACAATTAATATTGGATTCATAATCGAATTGCTGTAAGTACAAAAATAAAAAACATAACATAATCATGTGTAGATCCGACTTTTCTTTCGGAACGTTTCTAAAGCTTTTATGGAATAGCTGCTAGTTGATTGGCTGCACATTTGTCGGAACTAGAACTTGGACCGAGTTCTAGCATCGTGGACACAGGCCTTTAGAGTTAACGAGCCTAAAGTTTCGAGTTGTGTAATGAATGAAGGCACAGGCTCGACCCTATAATACCGTTTCTGCGCGCTCGGCGGACCGCCGCTTGCAATAATTATGCCATGTAGAGCGAATTGGACCCATCATCGTCGCGTCTCGTTTTCATTGGTTCAACCTTGTTTCGTCTTAAGTAGGCATTATCTTGAGCGTTTCCTCTCGTTACTTTTTACGCCCTCCTCTCTTTTTGTCACGAAAATATCCTAATTAAGTAGTTAAGAGCGAAGAGGAGTAGATAAGAGAGCTTATCAGGTATCCGTCCAACGATTAGAATAATAAATAAACATGTTCTCAAAGGGTTGGCGGTGTCAACGCACATTGACTATATTATACACATATACATACATATATGTATGTATTGTACACATGTATATATAGGTTGGGGCATCTAGAAAGAAATATTTTTACCCACCGGGCTTGGTTTTCGAGATATTCTGGTGTTTTGTTTCAAATGTCCTATTCTGTGTGTGTGTACAGTCTTGGGGCAAAATTAATTAGGCACCCTCATAATCATTACACTGTACGAAATCTACAAAGAAATATTTTTATTGTACAAAAGTTGTTCATTGTACAGCAATAGACGCTCTAAGTAAACAACTTTTACAACAGAAATTCTTCTTTCCTTGTATTAGATTCAATAGAGATAATGACTATGAGGGCGCCTAATAATTTTGTCTAAGGCTGTACATACATAGAGGAAAGTCCCCCCCTATTATGAGATAAGCTCCTAATCTGAGATAGCAGGGTTTTTGCTCAATTAACGGACATCATTAATTGGTCTCATCGTTTCGAAAATTTATCGTCAGATCGTTGTAATCGTTGTGAATAAAGACTTGTGATAAAATTTTGATGTTGAACATCTGCTATCTCATATTAGAAGCCTGTCTCATAATAGAGGACTTTCCTCTACTTATATGTAGATGTACGTATGTGTGTGTGTGTGCACATAACATCTTTTCTACATGTAATAATATTCTTTTCCTCATTCTTACTTTTAGATTCATAGATCTTGCATGTACCTTTCTTTCACGCACAGGACTGTATGCTGGCCTCAATTAAAATGTAATCGCTTTACGTAACGCAATATTAAAACCTAAAAGTTAAAACTTAATTATTTTTAAGGGAGTTGTGTACCCTACGGCGCGACAAGTTCTGAGAAGAGGTTGTTCTTAGGACCCCATTCCAGCCCACGTCTCACGCATTCGCGTTTCATAACCGATCGTAGAGTCGTACGTTACAATGTTCGCGAAGTAAAATGAAACGTTTTGTGCGCGCGACCCTCACTTGCGGATCACTGTGGCTATTTGTTGTACCTATAACGGCAATTATTCGAAAGAGCCTACAAACGGTAACATTTATTTCCTACTTATACAAATAAAATCTGAATCACGAAAATGGCCCTGCGCCCTCGCATTTTGCGAAACTGTGTCCGACTCAATCTCATCCGACACACGATTCTCTTCCACAGATCTGCGCAATTCGCGATTTATTGGCCGATTTCATTTTTTTAAAGGATCGGTTAGATAAATCATATACCACATATCGAAGTACCAATGTATATTTTTACTGCGTAATGATATACCGACAGGCATTCTACAACAATCGAACGAACGTCGCTACACTTACATCCATCGTGCAAATTTATTTCTCAGTTTCGATGGACAAATCATTAATCGCTGATCGGCCGGAATCTTCCGAGCAAACTGACCAGTCTAAACGTATGGTAACGATTTTGCTCTACAGCATAGCAATTTCTTGTTTTCTACCACGGTATTGATATTATAAGTTAGCAATTAGATTTCAGTTTTAATAATAACACTTTTAATAAGTCGAGAAAGTAGCAACGACTGTCGTCTTAACAGATTGTACTATACAAAGCAAAGGAAAACTCGCAAAACATAGAAAAAGGCATGATTAAACAATTAAGTCGTACATATTTGAGAAGAAGAGTAGAAAGGAGCGATACCTCATTGGCGAGCTAACATTCCTTATGATCAGCTCGTCAATAATTTGATTAACTTATCGACGAAGAACGTCAGCCGAGGCGTCCCTCATCAACTCTTAAACGTTGTAAAGCGTCCCTAATTCTTATAAGTCTAGATGATGGATCGCTGAAATTGGCCGATACGCAAATCGCGCCTACCTATTGCACACCTTATCTTATCACAGGTTACTGGGTGTCAACAGTCCTTATGATAATCGCCTAAATGGGTTGGAGAATGAACGAACCGTCAGAGTTTACATGGCACGTCGCGTAGGACTGTCGATCTCTGTGTCAATTATCGCTGTGAATCAGTTTCGGCCACCGGGTGAGGGAAACTTACTGCTGCGGACGGGATCGCATCGGCATACGCAGCAAGAGGGGAACAGGAACCAGTCCATGAATATACCCTTACAGTCGTTGTCCGGGTCGTACGCGAGCAACCTGTGCCACTTGTACTTCTGCTCGCACCCGCAGTCGCCGCTGCAACGATTCGTTTGCGTTTTCCTGCAAAGGAATGTACGTATGAAGAATCGTGTAAGACAATTGGGATGAGATGGCGTCAGTCATTTTACTCACGAGCACACTTCTTGGTGTATCGCTTGCTCGAAATGTTGAGTGTTCACGATGGCGCGAATCTTTCCGGCGCTGTTGCTGGCCCAGTAAGGAGTCACAATTTCGACTTTTGACTCGCACGCGTCGATTCTGTAATCGTTATCGCGGTATTAATTATTTACAATCATTCCACCGCGAGGAAAGAAACAGAAAAGCGAGAGAAAGAGAGAAACATTCCTGAGGGAGACTCCGCTTTATAAAAATGTATTATTTACGAAAATAGCATTCAAAATGAAAGATCTCGCCAAGATATAAGCAGCAGCATCAAATAATATAAAGTTATATACAGAAAATATAAAAGAAAATAAAAGACAAACATAACACGATAGCAATTAGCAGAGGATCCTCGATTCTCACCTGCCGCTCTCTGTGCTGCGGTTTTTCCCGAGGGACTCTCTGATGTTTCTGTTCTTGCTAAAATACTCCTCGCCTTCTGCGCGCGATTCATCATCCCTGGGCCCGCCGTCCGGGATATCGTGCCTTCGCGCTTCTCTACTTTTTCTTCGCGTTCTAGTGTGATGCCCGCGTTCGCTCAACCCGTGATTCCCGTGTTCCGGACTCATCTCAAAATCACCGTACATCCTTTTCATCAACGCTTTATTTTCGTCGATGAAACGTTCTATCCGTTCTCTAAAACAATCGATTTCAGTAAACTATGATTCGCGTTATCCAATTGTCACGTTAAGTTTCCTCCGGACTAATAAGTCTTTTGTTCAACTGTAGTTAAATATAATATATTTGATATATTAGTTAGATATAACGTTATATATCGCTAGGTGCATATTAAAAAAGTAAGAAATAAAATCGTTTATACGCACATTGGATATGTATTCCCGGCGGTCGGGCAGAACAACTGATGATATCTCTTGATGCATGGTGCGCCTCGTACCAAGTCTCCCCTCAGTTCGACACCCAGAGCTACCGAAAGCGCGGTCCACAGGATCTGCGATAATTAATTTTCACTTTGTTTAAACGGTTAATTTTCTAATTAACGGCAAGCTTAATGTCGCAAGGTGTTACAGAGGAAAGAAATGCAGTCGTCGTTGTGTTTGGTACTACACGATTCGCTACCATAACCACATTGTTCAAATTTTACGACAAACTTTGAAACTGTTTTTTTGTTTTCGTAAAGTACAGAAAAATATTGCTAAGTAAATTGATTTGAAAAGAATCTATTGTTAGACAATTATCTGTCTTTAGCAAATATATTTTACTCTCGTAGCAAAACTGTCGTTGCTTTGATAACGGGATGAGGATGTCGATTTATCACTATTGCCGGATAATTAGTAGATTCGATAAAACTACCTTCAGTAGGCAAGACTGTTCTCTCGAAAAGATTTTCTACCGCTCGTACAAAATAACCGAGCATATTTGCCACGACGGCACGAAGTATATGCAGATAAAGTTAAATAGGACCATTATGATATAAATCGAACAAGCGAGAGCCCAACATTTTAGATTGCAATTGAATCGTGTATTGCTGAAACACCCTAAGTCACTTTTTGACATTTTTGAGTTTCGACGCACACATTGCCATTTAGGTCAACTTGCGTCGTTTAGTGCTGAAACACCTCAAGTTCCTTTGTTCCTGTTTGCGTATTTTTAATATGACTCATCTGGTATTCTAAGGGCTTATGAATTCATAAATGGACTCATGTGGCATACATTTACTAATCTACATTTACCTAAGTCATCAAAAAATGCGAAAAGTATCCAGTTACCTGAGCAACAAGCATACACTAATAGACTACCGTTGCTGGAAGCTAAAATCGAAAATTTGAAGCTGTTTCTAAAGTGGGTGCCAGAAGAACATCAATACCAGGGCATAATTAAATATCATGGAACTAAGCAGCCTAGAAAGAAAAAGTACTTATTTTTCTAATATTTTGTGTTCCCATAATTTGTCTTTTTTTTAAAATAAACGTTAGTTGCTAAATCTGCTTGTTTATTTCAGAAAGTTTACCCTAAGTCGACATTTTCAAAATTAATTTTTAAAAACTTACCAACATTGTGTTACTTGCTTTCCTACATGTAAAAGTAAAATGTGTCACTGTCAACTAAGTACTGCGCTCACTTTCTAAAAATATTGCTGCAAACAGACGTGAATAGTTTTTCATCTCCTGAAAATTTACAAAAAGTCACTTAGGGTGTTTCAGCAAGACACGATTCAATCATTGGGCTACGCACACCTTGCTCGGACCTGAAGGCGCTCGCGCTGGTTTGGCACGAAATATGTTACAAGGAAAAAATGTTGTTCTGCACGTTCACCGTATACCGGAAGTCGATGTCGGTTAATTAAAGATCGCCTGCCTACGTTCGTATCTCTATTCAACTTCCAGTCAGCATCCAGTTAGTAGGCGTCATTCATAATGCGGGAGAACTCTGATGGTGTTCACGTCGTGGTGCATTGCCCACGATAAATGAGTCATACAGCGCGAACGGGCTAAATTAAAGTGCTACCCGTATACGAATCTGAATCTAAAAATCTACACTGAGAAAAATGTTCGTCGGATAAACCTATTAAACAGCGTTTCCGATGGTGAATTTTTCCGATTACGTTTAAATTATGGATACATCCGATAAAATTTATCCGATAGGATGCAGTTACCGATGAAATTTGATCGAAAAACCGACCATATTTTTCATCGGTTATACAATTTAATTGGATATATCCGTTTGTTATCATTTAACTGGATTATCCGATTATATTTAATCGGACATTTTTCTCAGTGTAAAGAAATAAAATTAAATGATGTAATTTCTTCAAATTTTTAGATACAGATCCGCACACGGGTAGCACTTCAGTTTATACATACATAGCGAAAAGTGGAAGGTCGATTAAGAGACCGGATTATCAAATGCGAGAATATTTATGGCAATCGAGACAAAAGTTGTTTCCAATTCTCGCTCCCTCTCGTCATTCTTTAACGTTATCTTGCATCGTCTGGCATGGAGAGATGTGACAAATGATCAGCAGTTTTTTAAATAATCGTCGCCCCTAAATAAAACAGATGGCAAGGCCAGAATAGACGATCAACGAAATCAGTTAGGGAAACTCGTTACTAAGAAGCGGTAAAGATAACAACTGTTTAAAGTTAAACTTTTCGTACGTGAATGTTTGAATTGGATGCAATTTCATTCAGAACGCCGTGCCCGATTGTTAGTTGGAAACAGAAGATGTGCTAGAGTGAGTGGAGAGTATACTTATTGTGTTCTATGTTACATGGATATTATACAAGATCGGCGGATGGACAGCTAAAAGGAAATACGAAGGTCGCAGACGTTTCTCCTTGACTTTCTTTACGAAAGGCGAGACGGTTATAGTCGTAGACAGATCGACTTAAAAAAAAGAGACTGGTTACGAGTTTTCTCGATTAAAATTGTAATATAAAATGTTTAATTTAGAACATTAAAAAATACTGTTATAAAATTGGCATTTTTGAAAAGTTGAGAAAATAGTGCAATTTGATGCAAACGCAGTAAGAACGTGGATTGAAATTGATTTTTCAATACAAGGATGGATTTGAAAACATCCAAAGTCTTACAATTATTTTAAACCGAAGCCTATTGACTGAATTTTATTTCTTCCTAGATAAAAGTGACATCACGAAGTTGCGCCGATCAAAATGAAATTGAATTGTCGAGTTGGCTAACGGCTCGAAGCAACGAGAATTATAGAGCAAAAAAAGAGAAAGAGGATCACGTATCTGGCTGTTCTTTTCTACTGTCCAAAACTGGCCGAAGTTCACGCACGTACGTGCTTTCTCTTCGTATCGGAGAACATTACTGTCTTGTATACGTCCAGTGAGAAATCGCGCTATTTAACGATAAAAAAAACGAAAAACACATAACTCGTCTAAGCGACGACGATGTTATTTTAAACGTAAATTTTGTCAATTTAAACTTTCCGCTTTAATTTTCCGCTCGCAGGACATGTGTAATAAAGATAAAGATTTTTTTTTCCATATAGCTAATGATATACAGACAACTCCAACCCAAGGTATCAAAACCTGTAGAGAACTTGATTAGTCTAGTCGCTTCTGACAAGATCCGATAATCTCAGGTATTCATAATCGAGCGGATCGCGTGTAGATACCGAGACCGGTCCGGTCTCGCCGCTCGTGCACGCTGGCGCATGCACTTGGCGCTACCGTATAATTGATGACTTGATAACTTGTCTAGAACAAGGTTACACTTTAACGGCAGTGTCAATGAAATTGATCCGAGCTGATTGTGCGCGAGAAAAAAAATTCCAGATACAGCTCTTTCGAATAGACGGATAATCTTTTAAGCCAGTGATCACGATTTTATCGCAACGACGATTATTAATCGGTTGTTACGACAGTGCTAACGAGAAACATGGAAGTAAGTGGATTTTAACGGTGAGCTTTTATACTATTTAGCGTCATATCTATGCAAGAATTTGCTTCTTAGCACAAAGTAAGTTACAAATTAATAATTCGCTCGTAAGAGACTGCGATGTGGCGAATACAAATAAATTTTCTATGGGTTAGACTAGAAAAACCGGAATGCCGTCGCAATAATTCGTTCCGTTAAATATATGAGGTAAAAAGGTCAGATCTTTCGATCAGAAAAATACGCAAGGCCTTTTTCGCTTTCGGGGATTAAATGATTTGATTTACATTTATGGTATAATTAATAATACATTCTTCCTCGCAAGAGAATATACTATATTGTATAAATTCTTGATAGATTCGTAATATATTTTCCTCTTTTCGTGCAGGGTTGCGTATGCGTGTGTGCGTTCGAAGAAGAGGAATCATCAGAGTCGTTGCTCGACGATCATAGTCGAAGATTCGCGCGTCTCAATGTCAATTTGACGCGTAAAGGCCTGCGTCCACGATGCTAGAACTTGGTCCAGGTTCTAGTTTTGAGAAATGTGTAGCCACCCAGCGAGAAATGGCTCGTCGATCAATATCGAGACGATGTCGACATCGACACCGCCAAATTGGTGTCGAATTGACGTCGAATGTGACAACGTCGATGTCGATTCGACATCGTTTCGACAAAACATTTCTCACTGGGCAATCAACTTGCAGCTTTTACGGAATAGCTGCGAGTTGATTGGCTACACATTTCTCGAAACTGGAACTTGGACCGAGTTCTAGCAACCTAGCCAGAGACTCACTCGCGAGGAGGAGTCGTCGCGCGAATGACGGCGTTGAACAAGACGGGAGCAAGAGAGGCGGTAAAAGGGATTCGCGTTGGGGCTGTAACCGGTGCGCATGCACACATCCATCCGCAGGGATCGCGCATTCGCTGATTCTAGCGAAGATACTCCCGGGGTCATGGATGCCGCGGTCTGAAATGTCACGTGCTGCTATAGACTTTGATGCTTGCCTGCAGCCACGGTCGCGCTCGGCCTCGATATTCAGGAACTTCTCGCTCGACGACACTCACCGGTATCTGCACGAACGTCCCGTTGTTCAGCTGGGGATACGAGTACAGGGGTACCACGGGCACGGAGCCGTTCCTCAGGAAGATCGGGCCCTGGATAGGCGTGACGTGCGCGTTCGCCGGTACGTTCTGATCCTCGTCGTCGTAATAGTCGTCGAAGTCGTCATCGTAGTCCAGCACGGCGTGGACCGAAGTCTTGGTACCCGGGCCGACGGAGCTCCCGCCATTGACCCTCGTGTAGCTTCAGCCAAATTAGCCGAATAGAGTACATTACAGAGTATCCTCGGTTCGCGCGTAAAGGAGTTTTTTCCTCTACTGAGGAAAATAGCTTTAACCCCAGGAACGCGTACACGCAAGCCGCCATTGAATTCGATTGAAACGTTTACAAAGAAAAGACATGGAATCAATTTAGTTCAAAGAAGGCATAAACAATACTTAATTGTTCGCCAACGTTGTACTACGAGAGACAGGCAGAAAAGGAGACGCGAGAAGAGAAAGAAAAGACTTCTATTTACCCGAGGGGTCTTTCCGGAAAGTTGTCCTGCTCCTCTATCCGACTTTTGACGGGTTCAGACGTGCGCTGATGCTGGAACGACGACGGCGGCGGAGGCGGTCTCATCTGTTGATGTTGCTGTTGCTGTTCATGTTGCTGTTGCTGCTGCTGCCTCGGCTGCGTTCTTCTAAAATCCTGATTGTACGCGGGATTGTAACGAGAGTCCTGCGACGAGAAGGACGTGTGCTCCGTGTAAATCTCGTGGCTCCTCTGCTGCGTCGACTGGCCGCGTCGATGCTGATGGTACTTGGCCGGCGGCGCGTAGGGCTCGTTACGAAAGTCTTCCCGCTCGTTGTAACCGGACGCGGATCCCGGTGGTAGCACGGCGTTCAGACGAAGGTTGTTGGCGGTCGCGTGGCCCCCGGTCGAGCCCGCGTAAAGGAACGGTGCCGTCGTCACCGACTGATAGGGCAAACTGAAATTCACCAACGCCATTTCTCTCGCGTTCGGCGGGGGTGGATTTCCCCGCGACACACCACGCGATCTGAATTCGCCCCCCCGCTCGCGGACGGTAAGTCTCTCTCTCGGGTGGCGGTTAACTCGAACCGGCGTAGGACCAGATACGCGTCCTCGTCGCAGAGATCATGATCGAGTCATCGACGACTTGGCGAGGCAGCGCTAAGCTCCAAGGACTCGTGTGTCACGAGGGCGCCGAAATCGTGCGGACTAAGGACACGCCCGTCGTCGCGATCATATCGGGTACTTCCGCTTCCTGGTCGCGCCGGTCGTGCGTTCGCTGTATGTCGGTTGCTTGGACGGGACCGGGTCCGATCTGTCCCTTCCTTCGGTCACCGGTGCCCATGCGGCCGCATGATTAATCGGGGACAAAAATCCGGATGTGTCGTGCGATCAAGATCACCGTTCTCCGATCTGCGTCTCTCGCGACCCGTAACGAGGCGGGACTGAAAATCGAAGGGATCGTAATGTTCCCTGCCGGAAATAATTGTACAAAATTCTGCAAAACTATAAGATATAACTGCCAGAGATCTGAGAAATTCTACGTAAATTTAAAAGGTGTTATAAAAATTAACATGAAAATGCTAGAATTGGAACACTTTTGTTAATTTTTGTAATATTCTACAAGTGAGCAGACGTTTTCATTCTTTAAGATTTTGTTGCTTCTCAAATTTTTCAAACTAGTATAAAGTTTTGTACTAATTTTCACAAAATTGTACATTTTCATGAACTACTACTTGCAATAATTTCTTGATTCGAGAACATTGCAATTTCGTAGGTATTTTTACAAAAAAAAAATTAATGTTTCAACAAAGATATACAAATTTTTACAAATTTCTATTTCAAGTCAATTTTTGTAGCCTATTTATAGAAATTTTTTCCGCTAGGGTTGTCGGTGAAAGAAAGCGTCACGTGAGAGTAAAGTGTCTCTGGTTGTCTTATAATATATTCGTTTGCCGTTGTGTAACTGGATTATCCGATTATATTAGATCGGACATTTTTCTCAGCGTATACTCGTTTATATTTTCGAAAATTTCGCTACCAAGCTCGTCTGAAGAAAATCACGTGCCTCGGTATTGAGGACGGCGAATAAAATAGCACGTTGGGACTGCCTCGCGGCTGATTCTCCACACATCTATTGTATCGAGGAATAATGTGGCAATCGGTTGACTCGGATCGCGATCGCGTTCTCGGGTACGCTTACCTGCCCGTACGAAGGGAGAATAACGAACTCTCGTTCGTTGAGTCATCCGCCCGTAGAAAGTGCTCCGCGTCCCGGATCACAACTGGCGAGACACACGAACGTTGATGCGTACGAGACGATCGCTTAAACCGAACTCTGCCGCTTGAAATAAACGAACTGAAAAGGGAAGACGCGCTACCGCGAATTGTATCGCTCGTCTCTCGTGCTATCAGACCGATGGAGAACCGTCCGGCGACCGCAAGTGCGACTCGCGAGCGAAACGGAAAGGCGAGAGGCCGAGAATCGAGCCGCGATCATATGACGCAAAATTCTTTCGCGGTTTCTGCGCCATTCCTTATCTCTCCTCGGTCCTTTCCTCGACACGGGGCCGCCTCGTCTGAAACGCGAGGCGCAAAAAGAGCGGACGGCAGCTGCGACCTGCGGGGAACGTGGACACAAGGGGGAAAAAGAAAGAATTTGGCGATTGTTACGCCAACGCGACGCCGAGCCGACGAAATTTATTTGGAAAGTCGGACGAGTTTGGGCGCCGCTCGTCACTTTCGCCCACCGGATTACCGTCTTTCCAATCGAATATGCAAAGCGGTTTTCACTAAAAGGTAAAAGCGGGATCATCCTACCTGCGTCGATCCCGTCGCGAGGCACTCTCTATTTTTTACGAAATATTACGTACGCTCGAGAGACCGGCGTGGAATAAAAGTGGCCCCTACGAAAATTTTATAGCGGCCTCTTCCCTCCCGCAACGCCCGCTCGCTGGATTACGATGGGTCGGGGTTGATATCAGCATTTTTAATCGAGCAAATTAATTGTGCAACGAAGCAGAGAAAGAGAGACAGAGCGAATGAAGGGGAGTATTGGCCGCAGGTGATTTGCAAAGTGACAACTTCGCGTGACCGAGAGACGCGACCGTCCATTCTACTTCCCGTCGAGCCGCCGATTAATCTAAAAAGAAAAAAAAATCGGACCCACGTTCTACCAGCGTGGATTAACTTCAGTCTCGCTTCAATTTATTCCTCGTCCTATTTTGGGACAGAAAGCGAGGCAAGTCGGGCCGAGACCGAAGTCAATCTGCATCGGTAGAAATGGTACATTAAGCGTGCCACGTGCTCCGGCGTGGGTGCACGCGATCTTTTCCCATCGCGCGCACGCAAGCGGTGCCACGATCTCTTTATGCCGCGCGCGCGCAAGGACGGCCGATTACGAAAGGACCGCGTCCCGAGATGCACAACGCCGGTCGTAGATACAATTATCTGACCTATGCAAATGGGCGCGTGAGCCAAGACAAACCGTAGAAACCAGACCTCTCTTTCTCTCTCTCTTTCTCGCGCGCATCGTATAGATAGACGTTGGTCTTACCTGGCGTTAACTTTGCGGTATTCACATCACGCACGTACACTCGCGCATCTCTCTCTCTCTCTCTCTCTCTCTCTCTCTCTCTCTCTCTCTCTCTCTCTGTGTCTGTCTGTCTCAGTCCTCGGACACTTGAGTGCGTGGACCGATTCCGACCGCTATTAAAGATCCATCCAACCCGGTTCCTACTTTCACCTCGCGCGCACGCGGAGCGATCGATTATCTGGAGCACCGAGATGATCGCCGATCGGCAAAAAAAAAAATTCGGCTCGATTAAGAGAGAACACCCGCTCGCGAGCGTGCGTGCGTGCGCGAGCGCGCGTGCGAGGATGGAGAACGATCGCGGGCGCGGCGCGACAGCGACGATGGTGCGATACCGTCGCGTTGGCGAACGGCGACTGAAGGAGAGGAACTTTTAAACCGGCGGCTGTACGCGCGCGAGAAGAAACGGGCGATAATGCCAGAAGTGTCCCTCGATCGCGCGAGTGGAACAGCGGGCGCCGGTGGGCTGTTACTTTTACGCCACGCGTATATATCCCTTCCCGCGATTGTCTCCCGCGCTGTGCGCGCGTTTTTGTGTGCGTGTGCGTGCGCCCTCCCTACCTTCAATTCCGCGATCCGTTCCCGCTCGTAACGCGGGGGTCTTCTTTTTCTCCCCCGTTGACATTTTTCGCAATGAATTTCTCCAAATTAAATCTCTTTGCGGAGAGAATTTTCTCTTAAAATCTGTCCTGAAAACCGTGTAATCGTGGGACGACGCGGCGTTTCGAGGAATTTTGTGAGTTTTGTTGAGATCTTTTCCATACATTTTACTAGTAAAATGCATCATCCAATCAAGGGATACCTAATTTAATTATCTGGATATATTTCGTTAGAAAGAAAACATTTCTGTCTTCTCTACAAAAGTAACGGTATCAACAAATTGCGCAAACTGAAGTGGCTATTTGTACAAACTAGGTACTTAATTATTTTACATTTTACTAGTAAAATGTATGGTAAAATTTCAGAAAACTCTCATAAAGTTGTTCAAAATGCCACGTTGTCCTACACTTTCAAGATACAATTTTAAGTGAAAATTCTCTCCGTGTTCTGATTAAATTCTTTCCAAGTTTCGGTCGAATACCATTGCTCGTTGTTTAACCGCTGGCGAGGAGAACATCACTCTTTTTTTTTCTCCTTTCGACGGCGCGCTCGCTTTCCATCAAGCGACGTACGGGTTTCTCCGTCGTCCGCGCGTCCTCCGCGACGAGCCCGGGTCACTTCCGGTCGAAAAGCTAAGTCTCAGGTGGACGCCCGAGCTCTCGCCTGTCGCGGAACGAGCGACGTCGGTTGAAGGAACGTTAACGACCGCGCGCATTGTACTTGCAAATCGTCCTTTCATTAACACCGCCATCGGTGTCGGAGGATCGGCACCTGTTAACCCTAATAACCCTGCTTCTTCTTCACGCATTTATGCAGCGTTCGGCTGAAAGTGCCACGTGGAGAGGAGTCGCGCGAAATTTGGATTTCGGCTTTTCTTTCTTAGAAAGCTATTATTTACAAAAGCTGCAAGCTGATTGGCTGAACAGTTCTCGAAACTAAAGCTTGGACCAAGTTCTAGCGTCGTGGACGCAGGCCTCTATTTCCTTTTACCGCGAAGCTTTTAATGTTAGCTATATGCGCCCTATACAATGGCATTTGCGGCGAAAGGGCAGACGGATGAGGAATGCAAAGATGCGGGGAAAAAAAGACGCGATAAGAAGGAAGGATTTCGAAAAGGTTTCAACCGCGGCACATTGGTCGATCGGGGTGGGGGGGGGG